GGTATTGGTAAGAGTAGCATGTTTAGATTTGGTGTGGTTACTTTGGTATGATTACTATGTTTGCTCAAGGCTAGGTTTTGGGAATGTTACTTAGTAAATTTGATCAAAGGCTATACCAATTATAATGATGTTGCTACAGTTTGGTATTTCTTCTGGGAAAGCTACTTTGGTGATTTTGTTCTAGGAATATTACTTTGGTATGTTTGCCCAAAAGTTATAATAATCATCCAATTATATGATGGCACTGTAGTCATGTATTCTTGCTCAGGAAATGTGGGAATGCCACTTTGGTATGTTTCTGCTCAAAAGTTCTGAGAATGCTACTTTGCTAAAAGTTTATATTACTTATGCAATTATAGAAATAATTTGTGTGGTCCAGGATAGTGTTATGTATGTACATGCATACATTGGCATTTAATAATAATTTCTGAAAGATAACAAGCATTATAGGTAAACCTTTATTAAAGGTAAAAAATAATAATCAGCCAATTAAAAGCTCTGCAAACATAGATACATGGTCATGCATAATAGTAGTTAGGATAATAAATAATAATGCTGAGCATAGTTTCAGTGGTATTCATCAATCAATAATGTATCATACTTACGTATGTTGGTCATCACTACTTCGTTTTTATTCCATGGCTGATAACAAGACATCACCTATGGTCTGTTTGAATCACTTTTCACCCATTTTTTTTTCATTTAATGTCATTGTAAATCATGTACAAGCTAAATCCTTCTACCCAAACTTCTCTTAATTCTTAATATAATACTAGTATATTACATACTACATTCTGTTTGTAAAGGCTGTTTTGAATTAGGCATCCAGTGTTGCTATTGCTTGAACATTCTCTTTAAACATTTAACTCTAATTTGTGGTTGTGTTATTTATCATTATTATTATTGTTATATTATTATATAATCAGTCAATTATAAATATCATAGATATATGATCATACATTGCAATTAGTATAATTACTATTCCAGTGAAAGTAATAAACATTCTGGGCATGTATTTTCTACTTCCTTCCTTTATATACTTTAGCGTACTAATTAGATTGGGCACTTGTATTTTCAGTGAAATTGGGCATCACTACTTTAGCATTTTTACTCAAAGGCTAATAGTAATCAACCAAATATAACAATAATAAGTGTGATCCTACAGTATGTCATAATTGATAATTCATAATTCCATTTGTGTGAAAGTACTACATATGCTGGGCATGGCACTTTTGCTATTTCCTTTTATAATCAAAGATAATTAGTGAAACATCATTATTTTAGGTATGGCTACTATGGTTAGCGTATAATAATAAACCAATTACAAAGTTATTTGGTGTAATCCTCCTATACTATAGATAGTATCAATAACATACATGCATACACTACTCTTGATAGTATGCTTACCTGCTTGATCAGTAAGTACAGCAATTGGTGCAATTTCTGCTGTTTCTCCATTGTCACTGTGAGCCACTATACTAGCATAGACTTGTTGATATGGTGATAGCTCATTCACTTGGTACTCGTTAATGTCACCAGAGACATTAACTGTAGCAATTGTTCCATTGGTGTAGTCTAGTGTCAGCACATAGTGGGTTATATTTCCTAGTGTAGGATCAACTGGCGGTGACCATTCAAGTATCATCGATCTACTGGTACTTGTTACATTAAGAGGTACTGATGGTTTCACAATAGCAGTAAAGTTTACTGTCGTTGATTCGCCAGAGCATGCATCAAGTATGACTACTGACCATGGTAATATCTGATCTACAGCCAATGACTCTGAAGCTATAAACGCTATTTGTATTTCCCTTTCTTGACGCATTGGTTCAATAGTAATAAAAGTATTACCAATTCCTACAGATACTTCAGATTGTATGACAACAGACACATTAGCTTGAAGCATCATAGGACCACTCTTGATATTTGATATAGCAATACGAGCTATTGAAGTCCCTCCTGGATTGAGAACAACGGTAGACTTTCCTTTAAGCTGGGCTTGTATTGATGGAGTATCAAAGGTGACAAACGAGTCTGGGACAGCATGAGTGAATGGTATTCCTCCAATATCATGTCCACGTAGCTGGTACTGGACTGATCCACTGGGTAATGTTATTGATCCTGAAAGAAAGCCTCCACTTGCGCATTCACTTACCACAGCATACTCAAGAACATTATTAAGGTTGTTGATTATTTCCAAATAGAGTGGATGAGCTAGAGAAATATTACTCAATTGAGGAGAAGCTAGTGTAAAGATGTGAGTGTCACCTATAAAGCAATCAGAAAGTCATTTTTACATTCATAAATGATATGACTT